CTCTCGATCTTTTTCCGTTCCTCGTTTTCGGCTCGTTTCTTCTGAAATTCAGCTGCCAAGGCCTCTTTTTTACGACGTTCTAAATCCTCGAAGTTAAGTTAAGAAATTGTTTTACCTTGTTCGATCCTTTCTTCAGTTTGTGCAACCTCCATAGCTGACATAGAATTCTGTTAAACCTAAAACTTATTCGAATCTTGGTTAGAATTTTGTCTAATTACCTGATGAGAACCTTCCCACTTCCCAGTCCCATCGATCGAAGTGTCGTGCACTCAAGTTCTTTCCTTCCTTGATACTAAATCAAATCAATTAATACAAAGAATATGTTTCCAACCTGTTTATTCATAAAAGCACAAGATGGATGAAGAGTCTCGTCAAACTTGAGCAGATCGTCTTCAAATTCCTTCGAAAAGTAGAGTAGCATATCCGCCAGAGTCGCATCTAGAGAGAATTTGCCAATTTTTCGATTGCCATCAAGTCCCTAAAAACATAAGGTTGCAAATTCAACAACTGACTACCTGTAGAGCAATTTCCACTATGGTTTCTTGGATGTTATCCTTTTCTCGGAGATCAACGGCAGCATTGTTGGGAAGTCCAGTGAGCCGAAACGGTAGCGACAAGTCGATTCTCTTCTTCTGATGGATGAGCTCGAATTGCTCTGGATTGTAGCCCTGCTTGAGACAAGCCTCTTCAAGAACCTAAAACATAAGCATTTGTAAAGAGCCGCCAAGTGTCAGAATTTAGGCTTTAGCAAATAAAAAATTGAAAAAAAAGGCAAAATTTCCCAAAAAAACTAACCAACCTCACGTAACAGTTTTCCGGGAGTGACCTTGATCGGGCATCGTCTCGCATTCGGGCACACCACAGTGAGTGAAGTCATCTCACCTAAAATTGCAAATTGGCATAGAAGCTTGACAGAGAAGAAAGACTTCAAAAACTCTAAAAAAAATGGCAATGTTTTGCTGACAAAACATGAAATCAAAACGAAACACCGGAAATGCAACAATACAAATGACGACACAATTCATGTCGTAATAGATCTCCCACTTAACTTTCAAAAAATCTTGAAAGCTGATTTGCGAAAGTTGAAAGTTGGAGAATCTTTTTAAAAGTTCAATTGCGCGGGCAACTTTTTTATGGAGCTGATAGGTTTAGCGGTTCAAAATGCCAAACCCCCGACAATTGAGCATTAAGATCCTGAATGCATATCTAGTACACTAAAACCTCACATTACAGTCAAACCTTGATTTGACGATTCTCAAGGGACCGAGATTCTCCATCGTTAAATCGAACGTATTTATAAGATGCTTTCAAGGGACCAAAAATTGACCTCGCTAAATTGAGGTTTTGACTGTATTTGAATTAGTTTTGCCTGAAGTTCTTTCCATTTCATTCTATTTCTATTTACAAGTTGTCTGATTCAGGATGGTCTTCTCGTTTTTGTGCAAAGTGGGGTCGATAATCGTCGGCACGCTCTTTCCCTGCTTCAATACCTACAAAGCGGCGAAACGGCGAGATGGGCCAGTGCAGGTATGATTTGGGCTTATAGCTTTCAAAGTGATCTAGCTTGATTTTAATTCAGTAACAATAAGTATCTTTTTTGCTCTTTGGAGTTCTGAGCGACCCTCTAGCCTCGAAGCACTCAAATGAATAGGCAAAGCCATTTTCAATTCAAGTCTTTATAATTCAAAAATTCCACAGCAAATGCTGGACAAATTTAGAAATTCTACACCAAATACTGGACAATCTTTGCGTGTGTATCTTCAATTGAAGCGATTGCTGACCTCTTCTACATTACGTCTCTCGTCCCTGGATACGAAGTAATTGTTTGTTCCGTACTCTTTATTTCTCATTTAGATTATAAAGTTAGCTTTCTTGCTTTGGACATCTACAGGCGGCGCTCATTTTGTCTACGATAAGGTTATTTTTGCAATGTTTCTAAGATAGTTTATATTTAGGTGGTCTACCCTTTCTTGAAAAAACACGAGAAACAAATAGATGAAGCTATGAGCAGCACTGGACGACTGGCATTCAGGGCGGCGGGTAGTCTCTTCACAAGTGAGTTTGCTCTTTTTTAATTGTAGCTAAGATTTTAAAATTTTAATTAAGAATAAAAAACTAAGAATTTAATTTTGGAAGCCATGACGACAGCACTTACGTCGATGGCGGCCAAAGGCTCAACTTCTTCCGTTTCCACGTCAATCATCGGGAATCCCGTCGCTCAATTGGTTTCACAAGTGCCAACTCACATGCATCGGCAAGTAATTCGATCGCTGAGCGTTGAAGGAACTTTTGAACAGGTACTTTAAGTAAACTTGGTATACTAGTATGGCATTTAAAAGCGTTTTAGCCTCAAGCCGTCTATTCGGCTCGGGTTGTCGAAGTAGAAGAATTGGATGACGAGGATTGGGAGGAATATATTCCAAAAGAAAAGCACGAAGAAACACGAAGAGTTTGTATTTGTTTACTTTTATTTAAAATTATATTTTAGAGTTTTGTCAGCAGGAGGCCTCAGAAAGCGCCGGAAACGAAGACAACTCCACTTCGTCGATCAAAGCGGCATCAGGTTTGTCTTTCGGGTGATGATTTCAAAAAACATTTTTAGGAAAAGCATAGGGCAAGCATTGCCAGCAAAGGCTCTGGCGATGAAGACGAGGCAAATTCATCGGATCAGGTCTTCAACCTGGTACCTTTTATATCCAATAACATATTTCACGATTAATAAAGCTTAAGTTATAAATAAGATACGCCAGAGAATACATATGATAATTGCTTCTTTAGGGAAGTGATGAATTAGCAACAGACGATGAAGGAGCTTCACGAGGAAAGATCAAATCAAAGAGAGGAGGACTGGGAAGGCGTGGAAGGGGCAGAAATGCAACGATGACCTATCGGGGGAACGATTCAACTTAAATACCTCTTGCTCTCTTATGTATTGTTAGATATAAATATCTGCTCTTATTTATCCAGTATTTCAGGTGTGTGGTTTTTATCGTACTGACTTCAAGTCCTCAGTTAAAATTGTGATGTAAAGATCTTTAATGCAGTGTTATTTTCCATAAATATTATTGTTTCGATCAATGAAAATGGCGCATGAAAGGGCAGCAGTTGTGGGAAAAGCCGAGTCATTCGAGCTATTGAAAAGATTTTTGACGTATCAATCTTTGTTATGTTATCAAGATCTTTAGAAGAAGCGTCGCTTGACCGCTGACGAGGAATGATGGATGTTTCACAGAATAGCCACCCTATGGGCCTTCTCCACTCAATTCGTGCCAATAAATCGTTTTCCAGGAGCTCAATAAATATTTTGGGGTTTAACATTTGCTTATGCAAACAATTGGAGTGCTTATCACATTTACTTATAAATTTTGTGCTGGTGACTTGGATAATTCAAGAAACAATGTAAAGTTTACAATGAAATGCATTCCGAGCAATCATATTCTAATGTTTATCTCAAGTTTTGTCTTTTGGCTTTCCGTAGAATTTCAGTGATCCATTGATCTCGCAGTCGAAAAAAGATTCCATTTGGAAAGTTTTATCTATTTATGAAAGCAAAGGGACTCACTGATATTCCATGAAACCACCTCCCCGTGTTGAGCAGTGGGTACCCCTGAAAGCAGGGGATGGCTAAGAGCTGGCCTAGGTAACAGACTCGAAGAGTAGGTAGTAGGGTGAAACCGATAAGTACCTAGCTTTGATTTTTGTTTTTGCCTTTTTTTGATTGATTTGCTTGTAGATGCTTGTTTGTCTTTGTTCAGCGTAAAAAGTTACTCAATGAAATTATTCTTTTATAAATGGGCTTTTTTCAAAGTTCATAGAATTTCCTAGAACTTTTATTCAATCAGCAACATCGAATCTAGGGGGAAATTCTGAGGAAAAATGCAGAATAGTCACTCGGGAAAACACGAAAAATGCACCAGAATCTCAAGGAAATGTTTTTCAAGTTTAAAAATTAAAAATACCTTGCTTTAGAAATAAGAACCCGATAAAATTTCGTTTTTTTGTGGATTTCGAGAGGTGAAAAGAGAGGGAAATTAGCGTGTTTCAAAAAAATGAAAAATAATTTTGAAATGAAAATTTTAATGAGAAAACAATGCGTGAAAATTGACAATTTTTCTACCCAACTTTTTTTCGTTCGGAAAATATTTAGGGGAGTGTAGGGTTCGATTACAGTACACCTAAATGTTTCACTCACTACAGTAAACCCGGGATAAAACTAGAGCATATTTTTAGAGTACTGTAGTAAGGAACTAGAGCTTTACAGTACCCCTAAAAGAACTATTTAGCATTAGTAACAAAGATTACTAACAAATGTTTCAAAAGATCGGATAAGTGTCAAATTTTCTCAAAATAACAATAAAGAGATCGAGAAAATGGCAAAATAAAAAAAAAACAACAAATTGAAACAAAGTTTTCTTTTCAAACTCAAATTCGATGGACAATCTGTGGATTATTTACCCATTGTTTAGGGATTTGCAGGGGATTTTGAGGGAAACGATGATGGGGAATCGATTGGATATTTTGGGGATTTACGGTAGTCTGATGAAGTGGCCAATTCGATTGATTTTGCTGAGAATTCGCTGAGAAATGGGATAACCCATTGAAGAACATTGGCGCACCGTTTTGTGCTGGGAAAACACCTGAAAATTTGGAGATCGCATTTTTGCATTTTTCACTTATTTATAAGCTTTGGTTTTCATTTTCTGCCCGAGTTTATATCAAAAGTAAGAAAAGATGACTCGAAACGGTTAAAATAGAGACATTTAGCTTTCAAGGCTTATGCAAATCATTGTTTCAAAATGCTCAACTCTTAAGTGGTCTTAAAAGTCTTTGGTCACTTACCAGTAATCTGGTCCTCACCATTTTCTACCAGTAATCTGGTACTCACCATTTTGTGAATTCCTTGACGGTGACGGGAGAATTTGCGGTGATTGCGGGACAAAATGATGAGAGGAATTGGAGGGCTGAGATGGAAAAACGGATGAGGAAGATGAAGATGAAGATGAAGATGAAGAGGGGATTGATGGGAGGGAAGATGGAGATGCAGTCGGAGGTGATGGGTAGAAGACACGTTTCGAGGAGGGACCGTCAGCTGAAATCGAATCAGATCGAATTCAGCAATACTCAATTGAATAGAGTCATTTTTGTTCAAAGTTTCAAAGTGGACAAAGAGATTGCTGAGAATTGCTTGAATCATACGATTCATTGAAAGAAAACTGACCATTTTGATTCGCATCCTCATCCACTCCATCTTCATCAACTTTTGCCATTCTTCCAGCTGAGGCGACTGGTTCGGTTGGTGTCCAATCGGGCAAATCGGGGAAAAGCGTTTGGAAATCTTTGGCCACTGATTCGGAGATTGGTTGCAGCTCTTCTTGGGGCACGAATGGAGCGACACTGTGGAGATCTTCGAAGGGAAAATCTGCAATTATCAAATTGAAAGTTGCATTTGGTCTACTGTAATAGGGCTTCGCTTATCTCAAAGTCCGTCAAAATCGAAAACTCACCTAGATCCGCAAGGGCTTTATTGACGGCATCGGCTCTTTCTTGGAGAATTGCTTCTTTCCGTTGATCACCATTGATGAGTTGCTGGTGATTTGCGGAAGTGGTGGGGATCGTTTGATGAAGAGGAGTGGAAGGAGACAGAGCGGGGAACATGGACCCCCGCGAGTGAGGGGCGAGCAGTGGGTGAGTGCCTGCAATTTCAGTTTTCATTTGTATTATCGATTTTTTTTGATTTAAAATGCAAATTAGCCGATCAAAATCAGTAAAATCCGATCGAATTCGATAGAATTTCGATCAAATAACAACTCTAGTACATAGAGCTAGGCTTTGACATCAAATGCATTCAGGGCTGGTCCTAGAGCCAATTTCCAAGGCTAATCTCAACCTAAGCAAAGCAATTTCTGTGCTGATTGACCTGTCCAAAGTCCAGATCAAAAGATCATGGACATGACTTTAATTTGATCACTTGAAATTCCTCAAAAATTCTTCAAACCATTTGATGAAACGGCGGGAAGACCTCGTGGGCGGTGTGCGGTTGCATCAATTCCATTGGATCCGCCACCAATTGATCTTCCCATTTGGAATTGGTTGTCTCCCTGAAAACGGTATTAGAAGCATAATAGATAGATCAAATATTAGTAGTATTGCTCTCTTTTATCATTTACCATAATTCTCGTGTGTTGAGGGGAGAGGGGATCGATTGGAGACCGCAAAGCACAATCGGCAAGACCTTCGGCCAATGGGGAGTAGCCCGAGTGAGAGGGTTGGGCTGAGCCTAGAAAGAAAGAGTTCAAACAACAAAGTGTTCATTTGCTAACTTGAAACAGTTCTCTAGTAATTACAAAGCAAAGAATTGCAAGCAAATCAATTGCAAATCTTGCTTCTCATTTTTAAATAAAGTCATCTTTGAAGGCATTAAAAGCTTTGAGCTGACCCCTTGATACTCCAGTTGGTGATTCCTTTGTGTTTGATTCTCTAGTTGTTGATGAGCCTCCAAATGAGTCGGTTCTAGGCCGGATTGCGGTGATTGGAGCGGGGACGGAATGGGGGCCAGAGGGTGAGGGGTAGTCGACTTCGTGACGACTTCGCTTTGATGCCGGTCCTGCAAGTGATCTAGTTTGATTAGTTAGAACACTTATCGTTATCGAAATACAGCTTTTAATCTATAGAATTCAAGGTATAAATTTGAGTTTGCATTCACTGACCGGAGCTCGTTGCGAATGAATGGTGGCTAGGGGAAAGCGTTGCCCCGCCGTCGTGTCCTTCTGAAAAGAAAAGGTATGTCATGGCTGATTTGTCATGGCTAATTTATCCTCCTCTTTTCCGTCATTTCCTACCTTACATCCAACTCCGTAGCTTAATGGATTACGGTAGAGTTGGATGTAAGATTCCCATTCTCTTCCCCATTCTCTTCCCCATTCTCACCTCTATATCGCGGAGCCGGACTGCTCGGACGATCTCGAAATAGCCATTGAAGCACCGCATCGTAGCTTGTCTTCCGCGATTCTAGAAACACAAAAATATTTCTCTAATCAATACAGTAATAACCCATTACCAGCTACAGTAACCTGTTATTACTTTACAAAAAAAACGACAGAACAACTTTTCAAAACCTTTTACAATTTCTATTGGGCACTGGACAAGCGGGCGTTGTTTTTCGAAAAGCTTAAGGGGAAATCTCTGCGATCAGACTGGACACACAAAATAGCTACTACATAAACGATTTAAAAAGATAAATACTTCTAAATCTTTCTAAATCTTTCTAAATCTTTCTAAATTTTGAAGCTTTGGTGGGAGAGTTGAGCATCATCGAAACGAGGCAAAAAAAGCACAAAAAAGTTCGGAAAAAAATTTCCCGTCCACCTGTCTCAACATCTCCAAATCCTCGATTTGATTGTCGATTTTTGAAATTTTCCATTCGAAATCTTTTGAAACATTCGAATTCTCGAAATTTCGATATTTGAATGGAGAAGTCTCGTCAAAATTGAGCTCATCATCGCTCTCCTCACATTCACAAATGCAATCGGTTTCAAAATTTCCCGAATTTTTCGCATTTCTTGAAACCTTTCCCTCAAAATGCTCAACAATCGTCGGAATCTCTTCAATTTTCAAATCGAAATCATCAATCAATTGGATTTTCACCGGGAAAACCTTTCCATTGTTCAACTTTTTACGCTTTCTATCTGGACACAAACCCTCCCCAATATTGCAACAATCAACCGAACTCTTCGAATTCTTCAAATTTTCCGATTTCTTTCGTTTCCATGAACTTTTCAGCTGAATTCCTTCAGCATCCTTTTCCCCTTCCTCAACATTCATCTGAGAATCCTTCTCCGCAATCATTTCTTTTGGATAAGTGATTGTTGGCTCAGCTCTTGTCCATTCTTGACTCAACAATGAGAATTTCAATGTTTCATCGAAATCGCTTGAGAACAGACCGATCAGTTGACAATCCTCCTCAAGACGGAAATCCTGGGGACTCGTTCGACCATTTCCTTCTCTTCCTTCTCTTCCATCTCTTCTTTCTCTTCCATCTCTTCCATCTCTTCTTTCTCTCCCTTCTCTTCCTTCCCTTCCCTCATTTTCTTGAACGCTCTCGTCTCGATTTTTCTCTTCTTCATCTACATTCATTCTTATGATGAACTAATTGCTTAATCATTTCTGCATTAAAGAAAATTCAGCATGCTACTTGAAGTACAGTATTCCTAACTAGTAAGCCTAGCCATTAGCTGCCAAATCAATATGTAGAAAGAGGAAAAAGCTAGCATTGTAAGCTAATAAATATCATATCTATGCTAATAAAAAATCAGTACTATTAAAATTGGGGAAGCACACTTTTTTCATAAATTTTCTGATATTCTTAGGTTTTCAAGTACACCGAGCACAAATATCACATTTTTAAGCTTTCAGGGATCAAAAAGTCGAAGTTTTTATTGAAAACCAAGCTTAAAAATGTGATATTCGTGCTCAGCCTACTTGAAAACCTAAGAATAGTAGAAAATTTCGGAAAAAAAGTGTTGTCCTCCAACTTTAATGGTACCAATTTTTGTATAAAAGCCAAAATTCGAACCAGGTGACAGATTCCTCGTCGCTCGTCCATTATTTTGCGTGATTTGCGACGGAGAACCGATCATGATCTCATCGGATGGAGCGACGAGTGGAGTGAAATCGAAACACTCCAAAATGGCCGGCTGTCGGCCAACCAATTCTAAAAAAAACAAATTCGTTCATAATAAAGTCTTTTATTCTGTGTTTTTTACTCCAGTAAGGCCATGGCATTAAGTTGGCACATAAGTAAGCATTAAGTTGGTTCATAAGTAAGCATTAAGTTCGTTCATAAGTAAGCATTAAGTTGGCTCATAAGTAAGCATTATGTTGGTTCAGTACTCCATGGCATTAAGTTAGTTCATTCATTGCCCTTTTACTTTCAAAAAGAAGTCTATTGATTTTTACAGGAGAAAAGCTTTCTGTGTAATAAACAAATTGAAATTTCTGTGTAATAAACAAATTGAAAATACTATAAGATACCGAAATTACCCTTTTAACTTATATGTTTCATTATTGTCGTCTAGAAGTTGTGCTCCACTTTTTTAGTTTACTTGCTGATTTGTGCGCTGCTGTTTTAAGCGTTAGATAGATTTAGATAGATAGAATAGCTAGAATAGCTTTTAACAACTTGTGGAAGGGTTTTTTAATCTTTTCTCGCTTTATTTTTATTAGTTATACATTTGGTAATTGTTTGAATGTTTGAATTTCATTAAATCTTTGAATTTACTTCCTTGACTTAGGTTTGATGGAGAGCAATTGATTGCAATTAAATTTAAAACAAGTGAATGATAACTGAGCATGAATTTTCTCTGCATAAATGCTCTGCTTAGGCATAGGCTTAGGCATAGGCTTAGGCATAGGCTTAGGCATAGGCTTAGGCATAGGCTTAGGCATAGGCTTAGGCATAGGCTTAGGCATAGGCTTAGGCATAGGCTTAGGCATAGGCTTAGGCATAGGCTTAGGCATAGGCATAGGCTTAGGCATACATTTTACTAGTTTCCCTGTGCAACAAACCTTTGCCAACAATATCCTCTCCTTCTTGACAATCCACTTCGGCTTTTATCGTCTTCAGCACGGGCATTCCAGCCGGTTGAGACTCTGAACACATCACCAAACTCTCGCTTTCGCCTTGAATTCTGAAAAATGAATTGTGCTTGTGCTTTTGTGCTTTTGAAAGCTTGCACTTACCCCAATACATAGTGAATACAGATGACATATTGTCCCTTTTGTCCTCGAGTTGTGTGGTTGATCGTTGTAGCTTCTGAAAAATGATGATGAAACAAATAAACAAACAAATAATCTTTCAATCTTTATAAAACTAATTGTTTGCCTTAAGTTAGTTTTCAAGAGATGACTTTACTGTCTCATTTCTATAGTTGAATTCTAAATGATTTCCAAGCAATACTAGCAATCCAAGCTTGGGTAATGCTTCTTGAAATCTCCCACCAGTCATCACCCATGCAAGGTTATTGTTCGCTGCAACGAGGCGATAGAATGGAGTCCGCACATGTCCCTTTTGAAAGAGTTCGCGAATTGACTAAATGTTCGCATTTTTTCTTTTCTGATGAATTTTCTCTGATCTAGCATTTCCTGTGCACTATATTTTTCGACTTTTACTCGAAAATCTTTTCACAAACCTTGTGCACAATGTGCGCATCGGCTGGATGAACCAACTCGTAAAACGAGCATCCCATCAATGAACGAGCGTCATTCTAAAAGGCTATTGTTCTAAAAAGTTATCGTTCTAACAAGCTATCGTTCTAAAAAGTTATCGTTCTAAAAAGGCTAAAAAGCTTTCGCTTGCAACGTGAACAATTTAAATCAATTAAATTTTGATCAATAAATTTGATCGATAACGAACGATAAATCATTTTTCTTTTTCACAAAAATTCAATTTGAAGCTTCCTCTTAAAAAGCAAAACGTTTGTATCTCAACATAGATAATATTCTAAATGATTTCCAACGAATACTTTCTTGGCTTTAGCATAGTTTCATGAATTTGATTATCAATTCCTCACTCACCTTTAAAATGAAATTGAACGTATCGGAAACATAGCTGATCTTCATGTCACACGTATGCCGAGTCATGAATGTTCCATTTGGCGATTCACCATCTGAATTTGATCAAATTGTTAAGCTTTTGCACTATTAGATCTGCTTTCCATTTAATTTAACTACATCAAACTATTGTTTTTCTTATGATTTATGATTTCACAGCTTTTATTAAGTTGTCCAGAAAGGCTTTTCGCTCCATTCAACCAAAGCTCTATCTAACAAGCTTCAACCAAAGCTCCATCTAACAAGCGACAACCAAAGCTCCATCTAACAAGCTTCAACCAAAGCAACTACCGAACTTTTGTATAGTTAAAATTAAAGTTTACATAACTTTTTATTAGAAAAAAGTCATAAAAGAGCTTTTTGATATCTGGTGGTTAGTTTAGAGATTTTGAAAAATCACGAAATGACTTTCTGGTCAGCCTATTAGAAAAGGCCAGCCTACAAAACCAAATTTGAATCTAGAATTAGAGCCAAAATTGATAATGATAGTTATCGAAAAATCTTGATAAGCTAAAGCTAATTGAAAGAATCTATCGACTCACTCTTTGTGATGGCATTAGCCGTGGCGGAGATTGATCCTTGACCAGCTGGGACGGTGCATCCCTGGATGAGAGAGATCGAATTCCCATCAGAATGCATCACACGCAGAAGACAGGAAATTGGCTAAAGCTTTCGGTGAAAGGTCTTCAATTGAAAGTGAAGTACCCCTCGATTTCCCTTCTTACCTTAAACAGTGCGCCTTTGAGATTGAGGTTTCGTCCCCTCGGCGAGATGACGGTCTTCATGCGTAACACGATATTTTCTCCAGTCATTCCACGATCTTCTGAAATCATAAACCAATAAAGCACTTAGTTTTTAAACAAAAAAATCAGTAGATTTCTATCTTTTCCGATCACAAACCATTTCTCGTCGCTTGTGCTCCCATTTCAGTGTTCAATTTCGCGAATTCGTCGAAATCACTCGGATGCATGAATTCGCGGAGATTTCGACCGGTGAGATCCGTCTGAGAAATTGGAAAGTTTCAAATTGATCAGATTAATTGATCAAATTGTTGTCGCAATGAATTCTCAAGCTCTAGCTCACCTGTGTTAGCCCTAAAAACAAAGCGACACTCTCGGATACGTAAATAATCGTTCCATCCGAATCGGCGAGCAGAATGAAGCCATCGAAGCATTCCAATAGTGCGTCTTCACCCCAAATACCACTTGTGTTCTCACGACAGAGACGTGTTCGAAGTACTGAAAAGTTACATTTTGGCAGGAAGGCCAAGTAGTCCGCATAGCCAACTGGCGAAGAGCCTTGTATCTTAGTCTTGAGGTCGAGGGTTCAGTCCCGCCAGGGATTGAGCCATTGACTCTTTTCAAATCTTGTCTTATATATTGACTTTTTCTTGTCATTTAGGATTGTGCTTGTATATTGTTTGTCCACATTATTCGTGTGAACAAATCTATTTTAAAAAGCTGAAGAAATCTTGGATTGAACCAATTTCTCTCACCTTCAGCCGCGCATTTCCTCAGCCGACAAAACGTGGCCGCTACACGGAGCAAAGCGATTCGATCAACATGGGTAACTGTAGCATCGTGAACGATCGGCACTTCCTGCAAAAGATATTCGGTTTATTCTTTGTCTTTTAAGTTTAGCGTTTATGCAAATTGATCTTATTTTATTGTTTAAGCACTTCAAAACGAGATATGTACTGGGAGTTTACCTTTTCTTCTATTTGTCGCTTACGAGACTTTAAAAGCTTTCATATTTTTGTAGAGAAAATTAACAGATTCAAATTGAATGTTCCCCATTTCATCATCCCCAAATTTCCCCTTCTTCTTTCTTTTTCTTTCTATTCCAGAGAAATTCATTATTTATTCCTCATTCCTTTACACTTTTTCCTTTTTTTCGTCTTTTCTCTTAAAGAGTTTGAAGGAAATTGAATTTCTTCTCTTTTTTTTGGTCCCTTTTCCCTTTGGAATTCGTTTAAGACATGAAGGAGATGATGAGTGGGAATCAAATGAATCAATCACGAGAATGGAAGAAAATTAAATTTAAGCGAATATGTATACATTTCTTTCTTTGAATATTCATGTATTCAAAAGCTGCTGCAACGAATTGATTAAAGAAATGAATTTAACTTTTTATTGGAGAATTTTGAAGCTGGAAATGTTTCATTTGAAATTTAGATCTTCAATATGGGTTGGCAGAGGGAGCCCCTTGAGAGGAAAGGGCACGGAAAAGGGGGAAACAAAGTGTCAGCATGGTGGATTGCCAGAGCGTCTGTCTCTCAATCCGAGAATGCCGGCTTCGACCGCGCCTCCATTCTTTGTCTTTGGCGAACACCGTAGGCCTTCCTTCCCAACTTTACCATTAAAAAGAGTAGGTTTAGCTTAGCTTAACCTTTTAACATTTTCAGTAGTTTCCCCCTTTATTCATAATTCTATTCTCCCTTTTACTCTGAAACTCTGAAACAAAACTCACATCTTTCAAATCGGAGAAAATGTCGGCCTCTTTCCCGCGACGATCACGTGCAGCGAAACGAGAGGTTTCCCTTCGACGCTCGATATTTCTAAAAAATAATAATGTCATTTAGATTTTTAGCTTTGTATAAGTCTTCTTTTATTGGCTAGAGTCAAGAAGAAGTAGACTTGCTTATCGGCTGAAAAGCAAGCCTCCCAGAAAGCAAGTCTCCCAAGTCTTTGCCCCACATCTTGAGACAAAGATTTAGCTTTTGGTTTTCAAATTTCAAACTGAAACTTTCATCGTTTCCTTGTGCGGGAAAAATCGTACAATTTCCTCATTTCCCAGTTGTTGACATTCCCCTTTTTCTATATTAGTCGATCAACTCAAACACTCAAGAAATCCCGTTGTTTATGACCCATTTAAAGCCTCTTAAAGCCTCTTAAAGCCTCTTAAACGATTATCCCAACTCTAGAATCCTTTCGAGAAACTCCAACTTGTAACACAGATTTTATCATTTTTATGTAATCTCTTTTTTCGTTGTTTCCATGGAGATCTCTCGAAAAATGGATTACTCAATCGGCTTTAAATTTCTCATTCTTTTAAGAGACTTTAATAGGATTTCCTTAAGTGGAAAATTGGGTTTTTCCAAAAAAAATGTAAATGTTTTAAATATCTAGCACTTGTATGGATCGTTTTTTCTGATAATTTGAGTGTAAATAGATGATTGATGAGCGCATTTTGTTGGCGTTTATTTTCATAAGATAATAAGATATTCAGCTGATTGAAGAGCTTTCAAAGCTTTCAAGCTTTAAAATAAAGTGCATTTTAGTAGTTTGTACTTTCCAAATATGTTGTCACAAAATTCTGGCTGTTTTGGAAAAGAACTGGCAAAAAAACAAATGTTCTAGAAGAAAATTGTTTAGAAAAAGAAAAGGAAAACATAAAGCTTAAAAAAGGCGCTTTAGAAAAACAGTTGTCGAAAAAAAATGGAAAATTTCTTGTTTATGCTCATGAATGCTAAAAATCATAGCAAAATATCAAAAAAATTTGCGAAATTTGCGATAAAATTATTTTTACACCATAGCTACCCACTTTAAGCCACTTAAACCTTTTAGAAATTTGAAACAAAATAGTTTTTTTTCGGACAGTAGTACAAAATAGTTTTTTTCGGACTAATCAGTTGATCATTGTGTTAAGTTTGTCAAATAAACTACCGTAAATACTGTAATAGTACCCCACTCCCATAATAACGGTGCGAAGTGTTGCGTAGTCTAGCTTTGAACGAGTTTTTCTCGACACTGGTTTATGCTACAATGCGCGTTTAGGTATCAAAAAATAGCCCTGAATCTCAGCTATTTTTTGATACCAAAGACGCATTTTTTGAAAGTACGGGCGCTTTGAAAAAAATGAAATACTAAAAAACTTTTGCGACTACGCGACTGTACGGGGGGGGGGGGGGGGGAGGGGTGGGGAGGCACTAAAAAGACCGGATGTCTTCTCACAATCTCTGCGGGAGATCTTACCATTCCCCTATTACTATTAAAGTATTTACGGTAGTTTCATTCATTTTCTTTAACCTTTACTATTTTTGAAACCACAAACTTTTTCCGGCAATCCTCATTTTCCTCGTACATCATCGATCAAAGCATCAAAAATAAATGGAGTACTTGCGCGCTGAGTCGATTTTAAGCCAATACCCAGATTTTTCTGAAAATTTGGCTTTAGATCAAGACAAGAATCAAGAACAAGCGTGAAAAATTGCTAATCTAACTGATCTGATCGTTGATATTAGGGTGTCCCGAATGAAAATACCCTCAACTTCGATTGCAATTTTTTCGGTGTAGCGAACAGCTTCGCGTCTGATTTTTGTTTTGTTTTAAAGTTATATATCTTTTCTAACTCTATGTTTTTATAAAAATTTACTGCCTTCCAATTTTGACTTTTTTCGAATGGAAGATCAGAAGTACCGAATTCGGGTGTGCTTGCTCTACGACTTTAAACAAGGAAAAAGTGTCCGGGAGAGCCATAGTTCAATCCTGAAATTTTTTGGAGAAGCTGCTTATTTTGAGGAAGCTTGTAAAAAATGGTTTCAACGATTTAGAGAGGGAGACGAAACTCTACAGGATCGAGGACGTGGTCACTCCCTCCACGATGACGATCTTCGAGAAGCCATAGAAGATGACCCAACCTTGTCGACTCGGGAACTTGCAAAAATGTTTGCTGTAGGCCACACAACAATTGCGGACCATTTACACCGTTTGGGTGAAGCGAATCTCGTCGGAGAATGGGTATCCCATCAACTTAGTGACGCTAATAAAGCTACTCGAGCGACTATGGCCGGTATTCTTCTTCGTCAATCAAAAAATCGAGGTTTTTGGGACACTATTGTGACGGCCGATGAAAAATGGATTTACTACGATAACCCATCGCGAAAACAGAAGTGGTTAGGTCCAGGAGAACAGTCAAAAAACGACGCCACAACGTGATCCGGATGGAAGAAAGACCATGTTATCTGTTTGGTGGAATTCCCGTGGTCTGATACACTTTGAGGTTCTACCTCCTCGTCCAACAGTTACCTCAGATGTATATGTGCAACAGCTGGAACTTTTAGACCAGGCTCTCAAGAATCAAGGTGTAAACGCAACGACTGTGAGATATCTGCAAGATTACGCGCGCTCACACACAGCAAAGATGACGCAAGAAAAACCCGAGGAATTGAATTGGGAATGTCTCCCGCAGCCGCCGTATAGTCCAGATCTGGTACCCTCAGACTACCGCTTATTTCGATCTATGCAGCACTTCCTGACCGATAAACACTTCAAGGATCACGACGAAGTCCGAATTTGGGTAAGCCAATACTTTGACTCGCAGCTTCAGGATTTCTTCAGCAAAGGGATCCGAGATTTGAAAGAAAAATGGAGTAAGACTATTGCCAACAACGGAGAATATCTTTTGGATTACAGCGCCTTTTTTTCTTTTTGTGGAGATAGATTTGTTTTTCATTAAAAGGGTATTTTCATTCCGGACAACCTAATACATTTGAAACATTTAGATCACGATAGTAAAAAGAATTTTTGAGCAAAAAGATCTATTGTAACAAGGAAAGGATTGTTTTTAGAAGATTTATTATATATATAGATACTTTATTGATGACCTGAGATAAAGTGCGCTAGATTTAAGATTCATACACATCAATTCATACACATAACACGAAAAGGGTCGATAAAAAGCAACACGTCTAAATTTCTCAAAGAAAAACTCGTGAAATTATAAAAGCAATCATTACTTTTTTGATAAACTTGAAACAATGGCTCTGAATTTATTTGAAAATTTAGCTAAATAGAATTGCGATGAGCGCTAAATCTAGGGAAAAATATTAGTTTTTCACTTAATAAATTAGATGATCTATGAAAAATCGATTAGTTTCACTTCTTCACTTTGGAATCGACAAATTTGAGACATTTAGATAAAATGATTGATTAGATTGATTGATCAAAGCAATCAAAATTTCTTTTTATCAACTATAAAGCTTTTAAAGGGACAAATCTAATTAAACATTTAATTCAAATTTCTTTTTTACTATTTGGAAATGAGTGAAATGTTTTTGAATCATTTTCCTAATTGAACAGGTGAAAACACTCCTACTAGAACAATCAGTTAACTCTTTCTGGGGCAAGGGAGTGAGTGTGTTGTGGTACTGTTAGCACAGTTGCCCGGTAGGTGAAAGGTCACGGGTTCGAGTCCTGGCGGCCCGCATTTTGATCTGCCCTAGTTCCAACTATTCTGTGAATTCAGGAATCAGGGAAATACAGATCGTAAAAGATCAAAAATGATGGGAAAACAGCTGAGAGTTTTAGCTGAGAGTCAAGTGATTCAATAACAAATTTCGAATGAGCTTTGATGAAAAAGTGGCTTCGAAAGGCTTGAGTGGCTTTGAAAGGCTTAGAAAGGCCTCGAAAGGCTTCGAAAGGCTTAGAAAGGCTTAGAAAGGCTTAGAAAGGCTTAGAAAGGCCTCGAAAGGCTTAGAAAGGCTTCGAACGGCTTAGAAAGGCTTAGAAAGGCTTAGAAAAAGCTTGGACGACGATTCTTTGATTAAGTAATCGTTAGCAAATTGATTAAGTAATCATAGAAACATTTTGAGTTTATTGGGTCCTAAAGCAGGATCAATGCGAATATTATACTGTGTGACTTGTGAGCGGATGCGTTATCTAAATCAATCTATCAAGCGAATTCTCCTTTCAACTATAGAATTTTTAAATGTTTCAGTTTCTCGACTGATCAGGCACAAGAATGCACAAGTAAACTGTGGAAAAATTGAAAAAAAAAGAATCTTTGTTAACATTGAAAAATTCATCCTTTAAACAGTGAAAAACAAGTCCCGCACACATAAAAACGATCGATAAATGGGATGAAATTGGATGGAAAAGAAAAAAAGGGAAAAGATATTCAATTGAAACAAGAAAAAAACGGAAAAAACGGAAAAAAGCGAAAAAGGGTTTTCCCGGGGGTTATTTAAATGGGATCTTCATCATTTTTTCACCTAATGAAAAAAGTGATGACGCACAATTGGAGAAGATCAGTTTCAAAATACAAAAAACTTCATTGTTTATCGAAAACTCGGTTCTTATTGGCTATACTCTTGCGATAATTGTAGATAATTTCTACGGGAAAATGGCTCAAAATCAGTTCAAAGAGATTTTTTCACACGTGTCATCACTCATTTAGCTAAGAACATGTACAAAATGAAATGTTTTAGCTTTTAATTTGTAGCTTAAGATACATTTAATTGATTCCTCTTTTGAGTTCATTTAGTTTTCCGAAGAAAAAAAAAGAAAATTGAATTTTCTCAAAAAAAAGACCCAAAACAGAAACGGGAAAATTAGCGGAATGGGGAAAATGAGAAAATAAGAAATTTTGTGGAAACTCGATGGGAAATTGGAAATCCTTTGGCTATTCTTCAGATATTTCATAAAGTAATCAAAAGGGAAAAGTTGAGTCTGAACTTGATGATTTCAAAAGAAATCCCAACTTTTTGATTTCAAAAGAAACAACATCACATTCTGATCAGAAGGATAGAAGAGCCAGTCATTAAATTGACTGGCTAGAAGAGCCAATCACTAAATTCTTTTTCAACAATCATTATTGTAAAAAATGAAAGACATTGCACCAGATAGGCTACGTTTCCATTTTAAATACAACTAGAAAGTTGAAATGATTGAATTAAGGATACTTTGTACTTCAAATTGCAAACACACATCTTTAAAGCTTTAAAGGAGAGCTTTAAAGGAACTAAACAGGAACTATAAAGGAGTTTAAAGGAGCTTTAAAGGAACTAAATAGGAACTTTTAGTGGACTCAAATCTTTGTTTTGTTTAATTGTTTTGCTTAATTGTAAATTCAGTGCATCAGATAATGGGTGTTTCCAATTTTCAAGCACAAAGTCCATCTAGAAGAATCAGATAGAAAAGACATGCAAGAATGCATGCTATCTCAACAATCAGATAGCATGCAAAAACGCTTTCATTTTTGATGACCATGGAAAAAGTTTGGAAAGAGAAGAACAAAGGGAAGAGAAGAACAAAGGAAAGAGAAAAGAACGAAAGAAATCGAAATGTTTCAAAATATTCAACTATTAGGCTGTCAACTTCAGCTCTGCTATTTTATCGGTTCATGGTTTTTTTATGTGTTTTGCTCAAAAATCGTTTGAAAATCAAAAAAGATTCACTCAAAGATTTAACAATTTCAAATTAAACCTGAAAATGAAACTAGAAATCATCATGAATCTAGCCATCTAGCTAGAAACATTCTTTTTCAATTCCAAAAATTCGAAAAGCATTTCATTTGTTCTGTAGATAAAAGGGTAAATAAAATTCTTGTTGTAGACTTTAAAAAGGTAAAAATTTTGAAAGTTTAAGTTGAAAGTTGATTGAAATTCGAGCATTGGAGCACACGAAAAAAGCATTAAACCGAAATTTGGTATTACCAAGTCTAGAAGCACTCATTTTACAATACCTTTTGAAATATTCAAATCAAATCAATCAAAAAAAAAATGAGAGGGCACAAAATTCTCGATAAAAGGAATAAACACATCGTAAACACAAAAAAAGTTGGGAAGGAAAAGGAAAAGGGGGAGGGGAGAGGTGTTGTTGTCACACAGATACCCCTTCCCCTTCCCCTCTCTCTCTAATTTCTCCATTTTTTTGCTCAAATGAACAAAAATATAGAAAAATTTTGACGAAAACATTGAAAATATTGCCCTCCAACGAGCCAAACCAGGCTTGCAGATGGAAAAATATCTTGAATATCTTAATTTTCAAAGAAAAAAGTCAACAAATGGGACAGCTACGTTTTTCCGCTTTTTCCGTCGCAGTGCGTAACTGCCTCACTCGTCGGGTTTTGCTTTGAAAATGAAAAGATATTCAATTTTCCGCTTACAAGCCTAATGCTAAATATAAAATAGAGTTTTAAGTACAAACTAAAAAATAAAGTTTAGTTTAGTTTAGTTTTTGAAGGGATTTTAGTGTGTCAAATAAACTACCGTAAATATTGTACTAGTACCCCACTCCCATAATGACGGTGCGGAGTGTTGCGTAGTCTAGCTTTGAACGAGTTATTCTCGACACTGGTTTATGCTACA